AAGGTATAAAGAGAACAAGTACCACATCTTCTGTCTCCCAGCCCACTCTTCTATAACACATGACTAGTAAGTCTTCTTAGAAGAGGTCTATGAGGACATGTTCTGTGAAAAGCAAACCTATAGAAACCTATAAATTTCATAAATAAATAAGCACAAAAGCAGAGCGCCCCATGGGGGAAAAAAAAATAAGCTCTAAGGAGGAAAGTGAAGGAGTTGCAGAATCAGTGATTCTGAATCACCCGCAGGGCTAATTATGAATTAAAATAGCTAAGAGAATAAAGATTAGTCTATAATAAGGCCATTACATTTGGTTAAGAACACACTAGTAAATGTAGTAAGACAGATTTTAATGTCTGTGCAAATGAGGAAGCTGAATTGAAAAGGATCAAAGAATACATTGAAAGATGGGACCTAAATACAAAAGAGAGCTGGGATAAACGGAGAGCCCCACATAACTAAGAAAGTTAGGGGTAGAGAGACTAGAAATACAGAAATACCAATGAAACAAAAAATATTAAGTTGTCATTTCACAATTTTTTTAAAAAGATAATGAAGTGACTACTGAGAGATGAAGTGATTAAAGAAGTATATAGGGAAAAACACAAACTTAAAAAACAACAATGTAGGCGAGGCTAAATAAAAAGACATATTGAATCTGATGTCTGTCCTGAAAACTTTACCATTGCTTTTGGGGAAAGCATAAAAATTTTGACCTGAAATAAACAAACCAATGAAGCAGGCATAGATTTTACAAAGATTCAGGTTCAGGGTGGTAGCATGAGAAAAAAGAGTATGTTAAAAAAAAGTTGTTGGCAAGAGAGTCAACAAGGGCAAAATGAGTGTCAGGGAGACAGCAGAGTTGGAGGAGGAAAGAACAAATTTGTTGAGGAGGAAGTCAGTATGTTTCTTTGACTTTCTCCACAGGAACAAAGCAGAATGTGAGCATAAATTAAGAGAGTGAATCCCAAAGGTGAGTGAATTCTAAGAATTCTTTAGAATGCAATCATTTAAAAAAGATAGCAAATTAAGACAGAGGTAGAAAAAAAGATTTTATTGTAACAAAATATATAGCATCCAATGGTAAGTAAACTGTGAAAGGATAAGTCCTCATCATAGCTTCTGTTTTCTCAAATGAAAGTATTGAGTAGTCAACACTATTTGGTAAAATTATGTCCAAAATTATCAAGTTTTACTTCAAAAACACATCAGGTTATAAAAGTACTAGTCACCTTTGAAACATTTTTAATTAGAAATAATGGTTTGGCCTGTAGTTAATTTCTAATTGAGCAAACCATTCAAAATAATAGAAATCTATGATAACTAAAAAGTTCTCCTAAAATGTCATTGTAGATGGCCTAAAACGGAATCTATGTAACATGCATGTATATCTTATTCACTGACATTCAAGGATGTTAAAATATGTGTGTGTTTGATAGCTTAATATTGTAAATACAAAGATGAAGAAGTTAAAAAAAGTTATAAGTCTACAAAGTAGCCTAAAATTTGACTATTTACAAAGGGAGAGAAATTATTTTGCTAATTCATATTTTAGATACAATCAAAAAAAATGCATCCTAATGCAGTGGGAGAAAACACATCCCGGCCTCTGACCTTTTGTTGATAGACCAAACTTCTGAACGTTCATGAGTGTGTACATCACTATTCAAATAGGATAGTGAAACACACAGAGAGAATTCAAACACACATATTTGAAATGGTAGTGCCTTCCATCAACTTTCAAAAGCATTCTTATTTGTGCCCACAAATGGCAGCCCAGCAGGCAGTGACATCAGACCTAGAAATGATGTGGCTTGTATAGTACCCAGTGAAGTGCAGTGCTCTACTTGTTTGCAATGGTTTTATTTTTCAACTAGTTTTTATCACACTTGGCATGAACAAGGGAACATGTGCTTTGCTAAATTTGAACTTTTAAGATGAAACCGAATTAACTGAGCACCAAAAAATTGCTTCTGAATTATCCTAAGATTGAAAATGCCTTCTCTTTCCTACTAGGAGTGACAAAATAAAAGACAAATACATCTTGAAAGTTGAAACGTGAGTTAAGAAGATCCCATGATTTGAGAAAAACATTGTTGACTTTCTTCTTTTTTTTTTTTCCCCAGAAACCTGAATGAGACTCTAATGAACAGGCTTTTTCCCATATAGAACACTTGCTAACATGAAGATAGGTATTAAACTGAAAACTACAAAACCTAATATAAGCACTAAACACAAGCAAGATGTTTTGTACGTCTTTCAAGCAGAAAGTTCAATTAATTTGCCATTTCTTAAACTTCGTATAACTATATATAGATATAAGCCATAATTATATAACATATACATACATTAAGTATAATCTTTACCCCCCAAATTTAATCTTATTTTTTCCCACTAATACTGGGACAAAATAAATATCCTAAGATGACCATAGGTGCATCCCTGGAGATGCTCTCCCTCCCTAAACTTCCTCTTTCCCATCACAAAAGGTATACCAAGGTGCCCAAGTATAAATGTTTTGTGAATAAAACGAGTGCTCTGTCGTGCAGGCATTTTTATAAAGAGCTGAAATCCAAAATAATTTTTAATATAAAATTCAACTGATAAATCACAAAATATGTTTATAAGGAATCTAGTGATAAGCAATAGGTCAAACAACCTGGAAGAATCAGCTTGCGGTACAGTGTCATTGCATTAATAATGTCACAGTTAGTATGTTTATTAAATTAAATATTATCAGCAAGGGTCTTCTAAATGCTATGTTCCCAATACTAGATTACATATTTATTTCAGAGTTAGCATAGTATGAGGGGGGGCTACCACTACAAAGTCTATTAAGCCATGTTTTTTTTTTTTCTTCATTGCTTTAATGGTACTATTCAAATCAAATTTTTCACGCTATGCCTTGAACACCGCTGCAAAGCATACTGTGGGTGTAAAATACATGCAAGGCAGATATAATCAGCTCAGATAAGACCAGTGACTTGTACACCAAGTTTACTTTATTGTGAAAGCAGTGGGGTTTTCTTTCAAGTGAATATACTTTTTAATACGTTGCAACCTAACTTACAAGTTGAAGATCAGAGTCCTGGAGACACACAAATCTCAAAGCAACTGCATTATACCAAGCACAATTCAATGCCTAAATTCTTGCCTAATTATTTGTCTTCCCTAGAGACTCTTCTCTCGTTCTGGCATAAGAAAACCTGTTCAAAACTAAATCTTGCACTCCGATTGTAACTTCAATAAATCATATAGATTCACTTTGCTTAAAAACTCACAGCTACCTTTTAAAAGAACGATTTTGCTGCTATGAAGCTAAATCTTACTTTTTCAATATTAAAATTAGCCAAGCAAATTGCCAACAGACCGGTGTAAATTAAGTATCTTTTAAATTGAATGCTTATCGCCGGTCTTTAAAGTTGCTGACTTTTTCCTAAATAAGTATGTCTAAAAATAGTAATTGTTGCTGCTGCTTTGGGGGAGATCTAGATTGGTTTGTTTTCACACAGGCTCATAAGGTCTACTTTTTTCCCTATTCCCATGGCTAAGATGTCGACATGATAAAATAACTAATATACACATAAAAAAAGGTGCTGTACCTGAGGACAGGCTGAACATTTTATAAAATCACTTGTGAACACACTTTGTCCAAATATCTCTATAAAACGTTTTAAGTTCTCCTGGAATGGCCTCCATTCAAGGAGGCTTTGTATCTCGCCTGCACCCTAAGCAAGTAGAACATCCTTGAAAGCTTCAGTGCAGAAAAAGATAAATAACATCACAAACAAGGTGAGTCACAAAGAGTTTTAGCAGTAGGATGTATGAGAAAATGTAACTGCAGGGGATAAGAGGGCTCAGAAAGTTCTCTATAGACGCTGAATGACTACATTTTAAGAGCTCAGGAGATGTAAATCAGCCCGAAAGAGAGAGAAACCACAGTATTTTTGAAACAAACTGTTCAGTACATTTGTTAGGTATAAAAAGCCTTTACACGTCTTAAGACCTACTCGGCTGTGCTGGGCGCGGGAAGGCTGGGCCCTCGGGCCAGAGCCAAGGCCCCCCGGCCTTCAGCACCGAGTTTGGGGGGCGGGCTCGGAGAACACTTGCAAGCGTTCGCCGGAAACCGGGGCCTGCACCTCGGCCTGGACTCCCAGGCTGGCCCCGCGGCCTGGATCTGGCCTCGACAGCAGATCCGGGCCCCTGTCCTGGACCTCCCGCCACGACCCGCGGTCGGAACAGCCAGAGCACAGCCTCCCGGCCGCCCCACGGCGAAGCCAGAACGCCTCGGCCCCAGCTCGGCCGGGAGGCCGGGTCCCCGAAACGGCTCCACTCCGCGTCCAGCCCCCGCAAACGCCCGTCCCGGGCGGCGCTAGGCCCAGGCCAAGCCGAGGCCTCGCCAGCCGGGGCAGGACTGACCCGCAGCCCGCGGCCTCGGCCCTCGGCCCTCGACCACGGCGCGCTCAGCTCCCGCCTCCGTCTCCACGGGCGGCGGCGGCAGCCCCAAAGGTTAAGAACCCACAAAAGGTGAAGAAGACCCGGCATCTCTCGGTCTCAGCGAGCCCGCGGCGGCCTCTCACGGCCCCTTCCGGGTGCTAGAGAGTGAGTTAAGATGGCGCGCTTTGCGGGTGGCGGGAAGGTGGGCGCCAGAATAAAGTGCCAGCCGAACGCTCGCCTTCCTTTTTTTGAAAATACGCTTTTGAAAACTGAGGAAATATGCACTTTCCAGGGAGGTTGCCTCATCCCTCTCCGTCCTAAGCCTGACCCCTGCCCTCACGAAGTCAAAAATGCAACTCGAAATCTAATCCCGGAGGCGAACCTGGGTTCCACAGGCCCTCCCGAAGCCAAACGCTGACCGCCGGGTGACGGCAGCCGCGTCCCGGGCGCATGGACAGTGTCCCTCCACTAGGCACCCAAGGCTTCTTGGAAGCCAGCACTGATCAGGCTTGAAAGGGACAGGCAAGCACACTGCCTCCGAGAGGAGCGCGGAGCTGCAAATTTACCTCACGCTGACTCAGTCCACACAGCAGATGGTGGCAGAACTGCAAGGGAAACGACCTCCCCGATTTTTTTAAGTACTTCCTAATAGCAGCTAAAGTGCGTCTTTCGGTACAAGGCACTACGTTCCTGTGAAATCTATCCTCGGCTCCTAAGAGCTTCGTTTCCGCACACGACACCGACTCCTTTGCTCGCGGTGCCTGGGGCCCGAGGGCGGCGGGCCGGGCGCAGCGCTCCCGCGGCCAGGCCTCAGGCGGCAGAGCCTGCGGGGCCCGCACCCCCTAGTCCTCGCGCCTCGGCGCCAGGGACGGGCGCACCCCCCGACCGCACGTGCGGCTCCTCCTCTGCCCCGCCGGGCCACGAGGTCAGGGGAGCTCAACCCGGGAGGGTGATTACGCGAAGGCACCGCTCGACTTCACTAGCTGTACTGGCACCGTGTTTTGTACTTTTCGTCCTCTTGTTTAGTTCTTAGGTGTGGGCAGGGAGAAAGAAACACAAAGGAAAATCAGTCATCGCGCTTGTACGTGGCAGACAAAACTCTGCGGAACGCCGTCTAGTGGCGAAATTGACCAGGGATGGCGAATGGGTTTTGTCCCCCTTCTGATTTTCATTTTAATTGTAATTTTGAAGCCTCTTTGCGTCTGTCAATTGCGAAGAGAACACAGCGCAATCGCTCACTAGCTGGTGGTAGATTTTGTCCCGCGCGGCCTGAGGCTGGCCCGGACTAAGCAAGATTGTTGTAACCCTGTTCCAGCACTTTGCTGGGTCTCTCTCTGGAAACCAAAGTACAAAAATCGCTTTTCTAGGAGGTAAAGGCAGAGCTCGACGGACGCCTTTGACTTAGACGCAGAGACACCCAAGCTGAAATGCCCGCATTCCTGCGTTTCTTCTCAGGGATGGGGCTCTTACTTGGGCAGGACTGGCTCTGGTATTCTACTGTAGACGGGAGAGCTTGCTGCCCCCTCCCAGACCTTCCAAAGCAAGTTTTCAGGTCATTGGTTAAAAACGGACCTTTCACGAGTTTGTTCTAAGCATCCTTCCCCGACTCCGACCCTGCCCAATTGCCCCCGGAACCGTCAACTCAAGAAATGTAGGCCCATCTGTGTTTGCATTTACAAATTCTCCACTATCTCCAAGGCCTCAGAATGAAAGACCGAAATTTTCCATATCTGCCTACAGCTGGTCAACAGCCTATTTGGACATGCATTTAAATTATACCCTCTCTTGACCAAAGCCTCCCACCTTACTTTGTGAAATTTAAGAAAATTCTTTACTCCTTAATAAAGGCCCTCCTTTTCCTGCTGGCAATATATCCAACTTCAGAGAAAATCGGATAGATATGAGAAGGTGCATACATTTCCTGGAAAAAAAAAATGAGTGCAACAAAGTGAAACTTGACTCATAGGGAACTAATTGTAAGAAAGAAGGAAAAAAGTAATTCCTGGAAAATGGGAGGTGGGTCCCATTAAACAGGCTGTCCTGTATTGGAGTGGGGACAGTCTATTATTCCTTAACCCTTAAAAGTAATGACCTATAATAAATTATTTTCAAACTGTAAACTGTTTCCAAACACCATAGTGTTTTACCAGATTTATTTTACTTGTTATACACAGACGATACAAACGAGCAAAAAACAAAACGTTTCTCAATGGAGTGTGTACTTGTATAAATTATTCAGTTCACAGACAAAACGAAACAAATATAAAAATCACAACATTAGATTTACAGAAGAGCCAAAATATACACACGTTTAGACCCTGAATTCCTATTAGGAAAAATCCCCCCATGGACTGGAATCTAGATTGAATATTGTGTATGATGCATATTTCACATTGATTTTAAATACAAAAAAAAAGTATAGGTTTGCTACACAACATTAGAAATTCTACTAATCTATTTCCAGGGGGATTAATGCTCCTTATCAAATATAACAAGACTTAGAGTGGGGGGTGGGGGGAATCAGTCTTACTTGCATTAATGCTAGTGTTTTCCCAAGGAAGTCAAATTTCAGCTGTTTCTAGGTGGTGGGGAAATCATTTTCAAACTAAAATGCAGTTAAAATATACAACTCACACAATTCATCTTCACTAGACTACACTATAGTTACCAACAATTCAGTCATCTATATCATTAGTAGAATATTCATTACAAAGATTTACAGCATATAAAGGTGGAGGGGAGGGGACTGAAAAGATATTCAGAAACAGTTTGTCAGCATATTTGGCACCTGCACAGACCAGTAATGGATTTGGCACTTTGGGGAAAAACAAATAAGGCAAAATAATATTGCTGATGTGGAGCTATTCTATTTAGAAGGAAGGGGGAGGGGAAGAGACATACAACTCCAGTTAACTTTGCTTTGCAGGCATCATGCCACTGAATCGACTTGCCTATGAACAGACACCTATCCTGTAAAGGTGTTTGGTCAGATTCTCCTTGGTTATTTGTGTGCGTTAGGGCACAAAGTAATTATTTCATGCAACGGATTGAGAAGTGAGAAACCCATCATTATCCATCAAGTATTTCACGTTTCTAGAGCCTCTTAGAATATTAATTATCTCACAAGAAAATTTTAAAGGGGGCAGTGGGGTGGAGTAAAAGGCAAAGGAAGGAATAGAAAGGTTAAGCATGAACTGGTTTTGTGCCTTGACGATGAGGATAAAAACTAGCCATTCGTTACAGTAAATTAACAGTATATACAATCATTTCACAGGCTTTGTTCCACTAAAATATTAACATCCCTACCATCCATCCATCCATCCACTCGGGAATAAGAAAGGACGCGCTGGGTGGGTCCAGGTTCTAGAGTCAACATCCTACGGTTAATGGGGAGGCCGAGACTTGGCGGGTCGGGATCGCTGCTGCCTGACAGGACTGCCCAGGTCTCCTAAAGGTGAAGAGTTTCATTATGAGAAAGAAGAAAGTGGGGGGGAGAAGAAGACGAGGGGGAGGAGGGCTGTCAGGAGTTTAACTTCACAGAAGGAGAGTAGGGAGGGAAACCAAAAGGTTCACAGCAAAGTTGAAGGTCGGTGCGCTAAGTGCAGAAACTGCTGTGAAAAAAAAAAAAAAAAAGGTTAAGATCACACTCGGAGACCTGCACTTATTCGCTGCAGACGGTAATCGAGGGTCAAAGAAAGTGAGGGGGTGCGCCAGGCGGGGCTTGGGGAGGAGGAGCTGGGGCCGAGCTGCGAGGGGCTGCCTGGGGGGTCCCGGCCGCGGGGCGCGGGGCGCGGGCGGGGGGCGGCCGGGGGCGGCCTAGCTGTGCGAGTAGAAGCCGTAGTAGCCGCCTATGTCCTTGGCGCAGTTCTTCTCGCAGTCCCGCTGGGCCAGCACCTCGCTCTTGAGCGGGGACGAGCTCTCGGACACCGGCGTGTCGGCGGGCGAGATCCGCCTCCGCTTGGCCTGCTCGTAAATCCCCGAGTCGCTCGAGTCGATGGACTTGATGGAGGAGGGCGTCTCGATCCAGCTGGAGTCGGACAGGTCCTTGGGCTTGGCGTCCTCGGCCGCGCCGGGCGGCAAGGGCGAGCGCTCGGCGGCCAGGCCCTCGGCCTCCTCGCCCAGGTAGGGGTTGGCGCCGGCCATGCGCGCGGCGGCCGCGGCGCTGTTGGGCCAGCAGGGCAGCACCGAGCCGGACTTGGCGCCGCAGTACTGCGGGGGGCTCCGCGCGCCCCAGCTCGACGGGTCGGCGTAGTAGCCCAGCGGGCGGCCGGTGCAGCCGGCCGCCTGCAACGGCAGCGCCTTCACCCCGGCCGCCGCGTACGAGAGCAGCGTGGCCGCGTTGCCCGCGAAGTCCGTGGCCGTGTCGTAGGCCGAGGCGGCGAAGTCCAGCCGGTTGTTGGCCGGAGTCACAAACCAGCGCTGCGGCGACGGCGCGCCCGGTCCTCGGCCTGCTGCGGCGACAGCAGCCCGTTGGTGTGCGGCACGCTGCGGTCCGTGCCCGGCCCGGGGCCCGCGCCCGCGCCCGGGTGGAAGCGGGCCTTGGCGTAGTTGCTCACGAACTGGTCCTGCAGGAAAGAGCCGGCCATAGCGTAGCGGGCCCCGGGCACGATCTGCGAGCGCGGGGAGTCGTTAGGCGAAGGGGTCAGGCGGTCCATGTCGCAGCCAGTGTAGATCCTGCGAGGGAAGGAGAGAGAGAGAGAACCGAGGGGTGGCGCGGAGGTCCCTTGGGGGGCAGAAGGGAAGGCCACCTCCACGTTCCGCCCGCCCCCACCCTCCGCATCTGCAACTTGCCGTCCAGGATGCGGACACCAGGTCACAGAGCTGCATCAGCACTAAATGGATTGGGAAATTATAAAGGGACCAATTTGTCATTCGAGGACCTAAGCGAGGTGTAGATCAAGAGGAAGGTTGTCCTCTTTCCGGGCTCGCTCGCTCCCTCTCGCCAAGTGCACTGGGGACCGGCGGGGAGAGGAGCACAGCAGGGGATTCTCATCCCACTTCTGCAGTGTATGTGCGCACCCCAGAGCAGAGTCACCCAGAGACGAAGTGTTGTTTGCCCAGTGGACCTTTCATCTGCTGTGAGTTTCTGAAATTTCTAAACAAGGTGCTCGCTGCTCCACCTTTTAAGACCACGCTCTTCCATTTAACACACAACGCGGGCCATCCAGGTAGTCATCGTCAAAGACAAGTCTTAGTCTTCCAAGCATGGAAGTCACCACCATGCTTACTGTCTGTTGCTTCCCCCGTGTGAGCCTTTAACCCCCAACCCTCTACCGATACAAAGGGGAATTACTAATTGGAAACAAAACCATCAGTCCAGAAATGCCTTTTACAAAGAAAAATTGTTCTTTACTCTCACCACCGCCCTTCCCCCCCCCAGCTTTTGATTTGTTAACGGTTGGGGGAAAAAAAAAAAACACTTTGGGATCAACTCTTGCAATATAGTTATCAACCTCCTCCAAGCACTCTCCCACTTATAATAACTCATCCTATTACAGTTTGACTAGGTGCTAAGCACTGCTGTTCAGGACTGTACAGGTCATCATTTATTGTAGTGTCCTAACAGTCCTCTGAGTTAGGTACCCTTATTATCCCACTTTACAGATGAAGAAACTGAGGCAACGAAAAGTTAAATGACCTGCCCAATTGCAGACAGTGATTGTGTTACTGAGAAATTCCACAGTTAAAATAATCAAAGATTAATTCTAGGCCCTGGGCCTAGAAAATCCCATTAGGTTTGAGAGGGGAGCAGACACTGGATCAAGACTGGTACGGTACATCATACACATACACACAAGCCTGCCTCCCTTTTTATTTAGTTCACACATAAACATTTTAATCTTTAATCAGCAGACTGTTTTGAAAGAGTCTCACTCTTGTCAGACTTTAATCCTTTGGGAAGGGGATTCTCTGGTGAGAGGCCAAGCAACCCCCTAGTTGCCCTGAACTCATATTGCTCTCCCTATGTCTCTAAAAGTGAGCCATATCCAAATAATCAACATAAAAGGAAGAAGGGTGAGTGTCATAAACCATTCTATTTATTCCAAAATATAAAATTATAAGGTATCTATTTGTATAAGTAGAGAAGTTTTTATAAAAAAAAATATACAGTGGTTAAAGAACCAAAAGGAAATGACTTTTCCAACAGAAGTCAGCTAAAGGAGGGGCAGGTAGGGTTATGCTGTGATTGATCAGGTCCACCTTCTTACTGAGCAAAATTTCCTTCTGAAATTTCCTTCTAGTTTCAAATGAGAACAGTAGAGGAAGGCAGGAATGGAACATAACTAGCAAGGTACAAATATCTTCTCTGTTTAACACCATAATATCTCAAAAGAAAAAAACAGTCTGCAGAAGGTACAGTTTAGATGCCCATCCAGGTCCCAATCCACTTGGGATTACCAAATTGATTTGTGCAAAATAAAATGCTTTGCAACAGATGTTCACAACAGAATTAAAAACTCAAAACCTACAAGACCCCCTAGTACTGAGACCAATATCTCTGGTCTCCTGGGCTGCATACTTTCCAGTGTGCCAGGTCCACCTTTTTGGATTATGACTACAGTAGCCAAGTTTTTGTTCTGAGGAATCATCTAGATTGAGGAATGTACGTGATGACTATAGGCAGTAATATCAATGACTCTTCATTTTGTTATAAAAAAATATTAGGAGGGAATATTGGTATATTCCTGGAAATGGATTAGAGATAGCCACATTTCTCCTCCACAAATTTAATATATTTCTATTCAAAGACAGCATCATCTTTGTAGCTCTGAGGCACTTAATGCTAACCATAAAATTAAAATGTGTGTAACCTTTCTTTTTATAGTCAAACAAAGTGGGGTGGGGGGATACTACAATCCAGATTGAGACTTTTGCTTTATAACACTCTCTGAACTGTTAGGCACTATACCTGGACCCTGAGTAAGAATGCTAGAACAAACCCAGAAAGTATTTAGTTTACACCTACCATTGCCCCCAGAGAGGGCATTTTGATATAAAAGAAGTGGAGATAGCAAGGGAGGCCTGGAGAAACAGGAACAAACACATTTCATTAAAACACACCTAGTTAAACAAAAGATAAGAAATATTGTTCTTTTTAAGCTTGTAGATAATACATAGCAACAGCACCTGGGTCCTCCCCAAACCTGAAAGGACTGCAGCAGTGGCTCTGCTCATGAACTTGCACAGGAAAAGCTATTACACAAAACTTGGAAATGGGTAAATAAAAGTCACATATGCCAAGAAGACTGTAACAACTGCCAGAGCCACATGCACTTTCAGGCAGAATCGGGCGGTTTCAGACACAGACAATCTGAGCTGAGCATCTGTAGCGACACATAAAACTCCCGCACCAGGGAACCAGGGCAGCTTCCCCAGCCAGCCAGCCAGCCAGCCAGCCAGCCAGCCAGCCAGCCCCAGAGGCCCGCCAACAACTTTGTAATTCATAAGACAACTAAAAATAGGTAGAGGAAACCTTTGACCAAAACCACAGAAATACCAAGCCAGAAAGTCATCAGAGAAAAGGGGGAGCCGACAAAGAAGAAAGGGAAAACCTCAAAAACACATTCTAACCTCCAAAATCCCTGTACACAACAAGTCACCTCTGACCTAAGACCCAGTTCCACAACTATAAGAGAAGAAAGATGCAAAATTACTTACGTGTCATAATTATCCCGAAATCCTTTTGCAAAGGGGTTGTGATCTATTTTCAGTTGTGTAATCTGGGATAAAGAAAAAAAAAAAAGATTAACATGATATCAGCTTCTATGCAGGATTGGGTGTTTAAGAATACATCACCTGCACTTTTTGCAGGGACTTAAAGCCTATAATTTATTTATTAGTGAGTTTTCCCTAACGAAAATTTTGAGGTGATGGATGTTGGAAAGGAAAAAATAGGAAGTATGAAAGTTATAAAGAACATCTTTAAATTAATGATGAATGGCTAAAACCTAAGGATTGCTTCCAATTAGCTCTCCCATGTGTTCTAAATTGGTTCAGATACACATTTTAAAAATACTTGTTATTCACAATGCACTATTCAGTCAAAAATCTTTAAGGAGAACCTGAATTCACACCAAATGTTGCCCATTTTAAAATGATTCACCATATTTTTAAAAAGTTGTTTTACTTCTAATAAGTCAGAAGACTTAACCTGCAGAACTCAGGTTAAACGTCTGCATGTTTTTCATTTCTGATATTTTCACTTACGTTTTTATTTTAATGCCATTACTCCTAGTAGTAAAATCAACAGAAGTACCATAAATTTTTGCAAAGTTGCAAGTGGTGAAGAGGTTCAAGTGCTAGAAAACGCATTCCACAGCCCCCAGTAATCTGTAATATCGCAGTTCTTACGCTGCGGATGTGTATGTTCTTTTGATCACTCAAAAAGTGGTGTTTATTTCAGCTGTGACTTCTGAGATTCTTTTAATTTTTTTTTTTTTTTTAGATAATGCCATGCTTGCCAAGAAAATCTGCTTGTTTTCTAGAGGAAGGCGAGCTTTTTGAAAAATAAATCAGATTTCAATATAGCACTAGTTTGAAAACTGAATTAAAATTCCCAGTGGAAGAGGCCCTAGAACACCTGGGCGCCTCAAAGGTGACACGGCTGACACGAGCCGGAAACGCATGGGAAGCGTTTCCCTCCGGCTCGTTATTCAGGGAAGGTGCCAGCAGCCCCCCTAGGCAAGTGCCTAAAACGCGCAGCAGAGCCAGCTGTTGCTGATGTTAGCAACCGAGCTGGGCACGGTCGGGGGACCCGGGCGGGCGCGGGGAGAGGCGGGCGGCGCCCGCCGCGCGCGCACAGCCGCGGCCTCCTTACATCGGTGTTCTGGTAGGCGGTGACGGCGATGAACTGGGTCTCGGGGAAAGTGAATGTCTGCACGCGGCCGGGCTGGCTGGTGTCCTCCGTGCCGTCCTCGTTCACTTCCACCACATGCAGGCGGGGCTGGTACTTGTGCAAAGACTGTAAAACCACCATCTGTCCGGCGGAGAAAAAGGGGGGCGCGGGGGAGCGCGTTAACCCGGGTGGCGTGTGCGGGGCTGCGCGCCGCGCGGAGGCTGCACGGAGTCGGCCGCCCCGGCTCCCTCGCGGCGGGGCCGGGCCCGGGGCCTGGCTCGCCGCGTCGGCCTCGCTGCTCTGCGCGCCAGGCTCGCGGCAGCACCGGAGAGGACGCGCCCGGCTCGCCCAAACCCCAGGGACCCTCTCCTAGCCTCCCTGCAGAGGAGGAACAAGATTTTCACACGCTGAAGATTCTGTGGGATTCCTTCTCGAAATAAATCAAGTCTCTGTACTTGGGAATGGCGGGTATTTGTCCTTGGGAACTAGGGAATGGGGCGAGGAGCAAGGGGAACAACTTTACAGATGAATTCATAGAATTGTGGCGGGTGGAAATTTTTTTAAAAATTTAAAGTCTTTTTAATGAAGCAAAGAGAGATGTGGCCAGTTTCTCACGCTAATTTAAACGGATGAACTGGAAACTGTTAGGGAGAGACGAGTGTGAGTGTGTGTGTGTGTGTGTGTGTGAGAGAGAGAGAGAGAATGAGCGCTTGAGCCACTGACCTGCCCATTGTTGTTTGAAGCTCCTTTGTTGTTTGTAAGTTTTAATTTTCCAAAAGAGATTTCTTGGCGCATCCAATGAGCCCCCGTGTTGGGGGAATCCGGATGCATATACACTCGATTTCCTAGAGAAAGAAATGCGTTGTTTACATATGCCCCGGGCACAGCCCAGTCCCAGCTCCTCACCACGTAGGACACACACACACACAAACACGCACACGCACACACAAACACACACCTTATTCCTTTATTCCACCGTGAGGCCCATTAGCTGGGGCTTTTTTAGGCCGCTTTTTCTTCTTATTAACTGGGAATGATTAAAATAGCTTTTGCATAATCCTCCCCCTTTTCACCGCTCAGTCTGTCCCTCATTCCCCCTCGTTTCCTTTTAGAAGTCATTGGCCGATCGTTTTAAAAGTCGCTCGAGCCAGTCCACAAAGGCTTTAATTAATCATTCTCACCTAAATAAGTGTCAGGAAAACGTGTTAATTGGAAGGACTTGCCTTGCACATTGGTGTCCGCTTTGCCGCAAGGAACCCATTTGCCTCCTTGAAACCTCCAGTGATTGGGATCCGCCAAAATCACATCCACAAAAATATTGTAATGAGCCGTGGGATCGAGACCAGAAATGTTAAAACTTAAAAAAGGAAACATGCGCCTATTTAAATTAAGGAGGGGGGGAGAAAACAAGGGGGAAAAAAAAACATAAATGTTAAAGATTAAATGCAAGAAGCGCGGCGCCAGAATGCAAAGCAAAACTTGTTCTCACAGCGTCGATGAGCAAATGTTTGCTGGGTTAGAAAAGGGGTGGTGAGGGAGGAAAAGCAGGACTGAAATCGGGGCGATCTGCGGGTGAGCTAGAGCGGGGAGACGACGGTTATCACTGCCCAGGTGGAGAGCGAGGTCGGCGACCCGCATCTCCACCTGTCGGTGCATCCGGGCGTTGATGCGTCCCACCCGTCGCCCGGCCGCTGGCCCGGACTCACTCTCTCTCTCTCTCTCTCTCTCTCTCTCTCTCTCTCTTTTCTCTCTCTCTCTCTCTCTCTCTCACTCGCCTTCCTCGGGCCACTGACTGGTTCTCCGAACACCTTTCTAGAGCGGGATTCCCCCCACCTCCAACATTACCGCGGTGGTTATACCTTCCACTTTCTCCTTTTCCAAAACCAGCCAACTCTAGGGCGCACCAGAGCGCCTTACACTCCACTCCCGACCCCAAATCGTCGCTGCGGCCGCGGTCACAACCCAGGCGCACTTGCCCCCGGGCGGCGCCTGGAGCAGCGGCCGCCAAAAATAGATCATTACCTTCCCTGTTTGGTGATGATCATCTCCGTTTGGTGCCGGTGAAATTTCAGCCAAAGGGGCCTATTGCACAGGTACACCTGCGCTTTGCCAGGCACCAGCCCGGGCTGTGTGGAGGAGAACTGGTAGAACGGGGCTCCCTGGTAGGAGTGGCCGTACTGCTGTGGGTAGGGGTAGCCGGCGGCAGGGTAACCCTGCGGTGAGGAGTTGGACAGGAGGCTGTTGTAGGCTCCGTTGGTGATGACCGGGTGGTGGGCCATGTAGCGGCTGGGGCTGCCGATGGAGAAGGCGGGGTGCGCTGGTCCGTGCTGGCCGGGGTACGGGAACATGGCACTGGGAGCTGTGGCCGCAGACTGTGGCTGGCTGGACTGAGAGAGGAGGTAGCGATCTGCAGCAGAGCCATCGAAACTGTGACGAAGCTCAGAGACCCCGTCCAAGACAGGAGAGAGTTTACTTCTCTGGACGTCCCCTGGTGAGTCCTTGGAGTCAGGAAAATTGTCTGTATCTGACTGATTCGTCATCCCCCTGGTAATTTTTTTCAAAGGTGAACTTCTCTCCAGGTTGTCAGTGGTCGAGATAATGGGATGATCGTGCAAGACAAGCTCAGATCCGCCTGAATGTGGGTAGCTGCTGCTCACATTGAGAAATTTCTTGGAGAGCATGATAGAAGGAGAAAGGCAGTGCTCCAGCTGCATAGCTCTAGAACCTGAACACTTGCCCTCCTGTCCCTGGTTTTTAAAGTCCTATTTATCATAAACTAGAAATCCATAGACCCCCTCACTAGACAGAAAGCACTTCAACCAGCAAATGCTTCTCAAAGGTTTGATTTACTTTTTTTTTTTCCCTGGGAGAAGAGATTGGCCAATTTACACTATGCAGCAATCAGAAAAGGCTCACTTTTGATCTTGCTGCTTGTGCAGCCGATGAAACGGCTCCTGCCATTGGTTAACTGCTGACAGTAATTTAATTAGATAGACATTAATTAGGATAATCACCTGGCTCCTGGTCGCGACGATCATGGCATATTGAAGGGGATGGTTTTATTGTTGGCTTGGGGGGTGGGGAATGTGTGTTGGTTTTACGTGAGCACTGTTGTGTCACCTTTAAGCTTTGTGACCACTGCTTTAGGAAGATTCAAAGATGTGCAATTTACTAAACATTTTCCTACCTTCCCCCCCCACTCCTCCCTCCTTTGGAGCTGAGGGGCGGAGGAGGGAATTCGACGATGCTAGGAGACTTTTCGGATCTGAATGAGCCAAATATTCAGTTGAATGTAACGATTTCAAGTGCAAAGTATACAAAGCTCGAGCCGGTGGCCTCTTCTCGCCCTGTAAAAGTTCCAGAGTCTGTCTTTTCCAGTTAATACAGAAACACACAACACCTGAGCCAGTCCTTTGTGAGCAGGTCCTACGTGTCCCCCGCAACCCCCAACCCCCCACCGCACACCTTTTAAACTACATAAATAAATAAATCGCTGCCGCCCAGAGCCGCAGCGATGCAAGTCAGGAAGGGGACACGTGGGGGGCGAAAAGCAACAACTCACCCACCCATCCACCCACCCCGGGAAGGTTTGGTTTCTTGCTTGAGCACAGAAACAGTGACAATCTAGGATCTCCTTTTTAAGTTTTGAAATCATACGCTGTCGAGCTGAAGTGCCTTAATGTATTTGCAGTGATGCTTACTAGGTCTTTATTAAATATTTTATCAGCGAGCTTGGCTGCAGATGATCTGAAGAGCATCTAACTGGGGGCAGGCGCCATGCATGCCTCCTTCGGTCCTACTGCACTTCCTTCTCTGAGTTAGTGGTTCGGCGACAGGTTCAGAAAGCCTCTCCAGGAAGAGAGAGTCAGTCTTCGTGCAAATGGGTTCTTCTTGCAGCACTGATCTGAGGAGACAGAGTGGAGGTGGTGTCAACGCAGTAATCCTTACTAATGACTCGCGCGTGTGTTATGTATGTTTAATGTTTATATAGGGAGGGGAGAGAAAGAATTCATGTCAGTAATTTTAAAAGGGAAGACTCTAAAGAGAAATAGAAAAAAAGAACTCATGTAAGGATGTTGGCACAAAAAATAACACGAGGTATTGACCCCAAGGTATATGGAGAATTTTCCCAGTTCTGGGGTTTACAAAGTACCCAGCCTTCTGCCTGGACTAGAGGACTTAAGAACAGCAAAGGTTTAATCCGCCCAAAACTGCTTCCCGTGGCCCGGCACCCGCCAGTCCGCCCTCCTGCGGCTTTCCCTCCGACGCAGAGCCGCGCGGGGACCCAGAGGAGGAGCGCAGTGCGGGATCTCAGCGCGGTCCAGAGAGTTGGCGGACAGACGGGCGAGGCACGGCTGGGGCCCGCGACGGGCGAGGCCACCCCCCAAACCCCGCCTGGTGGCCCAGCCCAAGCCAGCTGCCGGTACTGGCTCATTGTCTAAGGTCTCCAACCGGCCCAAGAGTAAGCGCTCCAGCACCCTGGCAATCCGGGGAGGTAGCCGCCCCCAAGGAGACTAAGGGAGCGCGGGGCTAGCCGAGTCTGGCGCAGACCCCAGGGCCACACACTGTTACCTTACGTGGAGCTGGGCCTGGCACCTCCGCCTGGTGGAGCCTGTGCCTCAAGAGAGCGCTCCTACCCTCCTCGGCCCCGGCAGCTCCCAGTAGACAGCGGCGCTAAGGGCCTGGGGTGGGCTTGGGCAGCAAAGGGTTAATGAGACTCGACCTTCACCTAGGCCCGTGCATATTTAGAGCGGTGCCTCAGGGTGCAGTCTGGGCGCCCTGGCTTCCGCGGGCACCAGCTGTGGCCTCCAGCAGGGTGCAGAGAGCAAGACCCTGTGCAGGCGGCCCTGGACTGGACAGGTTGATGACCAGATGTCCCAGACTTAAGCCGAGACAGTTTTCTGGGAGAAAAATACTGCTGCCAGACCCATTTTTCTTTTTGAAAGCAAATCAGTTCCTAACCAGGGAGCTTTATAAACAAGCAAGGCCTTAGCTGTCGGGGCGTTGGGGTGTGTAGGAGAGGACAGTAGCTTATGACACTGACACTTGGATTTTCTGCCCTTTACTTTCCACCACAATTATCTTCTGGGTGGCTTTTGCCTGTTCTGGCTACTCTTGTTTTGTCTGAGTGCTGTCCCCGCTGGTCCAGGATTAACCCCCCTCCTTACTCAGTGGGACAGTCTTAAATATACAGACAAGACATGAATCTCCTGCCATTTTTTGAGGTTCTTTAATTCCCAGCGTTCTGAATTAGCTTTAAAGGATAGAAAAGGAGTAGACTGCACCTCCCTCGCAGTTTATAAGGACTCAATGTACACTCTAGGTTATCGGTACTAAATTTTGTGATTCCTCACAGGTTATGTAACATATATATATACTCACGAAGGAAAATTAAGGCTTTCCTCAGGATTTTGAGCCATCTATCTGTAGAGCAGAGCTTTTCAAACTTTAAGATGCCTATGAATCATGCCAGGATTCTTGACTCTGATTCAGGTCTGGAGTGGGGCCTGCATTCTGTATGAGCTTCCCAAAACTCAGGTGCTCCTAGTCCAGGCAGATCACACTGAAGAGTGAAGGTAGAGCTTTCAATGCCTCCACACTAACCTAAGTGGAAAGCAGGGAAATCTGTACTAAAGGCAAGCAAGTAAGTTACAGTACTGCTGTGATACTGCATGGTAGATGGGCAAAGATGCTCACATAAGCACACACACCTGAAGCGGCTTCTGGAGCTTGTGATTAAGGAAATCCTTTCAACTCCTAAGTGGGATGTGGGGCATGAGACTGCTCCTAAAATAGCTAAGCCTTTCCCAGATAAAGGTGAACCTCCTAAGGCATCCTAATTTTGATCGACTTCAAACCTATACAGAAAATGTAATTTCTTCTAGGAAGGATTTCTGATAAGGTCTTGAAATTGGGAATATCTCCGATGTAAGCCAAGGGGGAAATGTGGTTGTAGGAAGTCCAGGAAGATGAACTGATCCAGTAAGAAGAGTAAAAGGCAGACATTGTGGAAGCCTTCTCCGTTACTATATTCAGGGTACATTTTCAGAGGGCTAAATTAAAAAAAAAAAAAAAGTATTTCCAACCTGATATTGAGAATAGTCCTTGGATTGCTGAGACCATCTTATGAGGGCCGATTTTACGAAAATCATGAAGCTCCATGAACCCTAGCTGTGAAGTGTCATAGAAACTTACTTATATAAAAGGGGGAAATCATGTATCAAAAAAACTATCCTGCACACAAGTTTAAATTAGGCAATCGGAAAACATCTAATAACTTCCACTAAAACTTTAATTATAAATGGTTAGCTGTTGTAGTCGTAACAATTAATACACATTACATCCCACATAAAACATACTATCACTATATTTAAAAGAAACCACAGAACAAACAAGAAATGTTAATACCTCTTATTCCACCATAAAAGAGACATTGAAATATAGTGACAATTTCATCCATTTTGATTTCTAGTTTCTGTAACTTTCCCTTAGGCAACCAAGAGCCCAGAATTGTTCATACAGCCAGCCTTTGGTCTTCCACATCACTCATTCCACCTCTAGTAGAGTCTTAAGTCTAAATTCTAACTCCCCAAGTAAAATCCCCTTTTAACAAGACCTTAGAAACACTCTTACCATATTTTCACAAAGGGTACAGATAAGAATTTATATGTTTACCTCTATTTATTACAATACTCCTTGGTGTACCTAACATGGTGTTGTACCATGGGTATTAACAGGTGCAGGTGCTTATCAAGTTAGAAGCAGGCTGAGGGACAAGGGCATCTGTAACTGCCATTAGTCAAATTTTTATCTATATCAAAAAACTGAGTACTTCTAATTTGGGGATGATGAGAAAAAGCAGTAACAAAGTTATTACTTATATGCTCATGAAGTTAAACTCACACTGTAACCACTCTTCTCATTTTACTTTGAAGATGTTATATACCATCTTAGCTGTCTTAGCTGAAAGTCTAGTGGAGTTACAGCAGGCTACTCCCAATCTCAACACTGTTGGTAGAATGTACTCATACAAAATGATAAAGTCTAAATTTAAAAGTCCCTTTTTCTTCTTAAATACTCCTCTGAAATCTTGACAGGATAATATGTTCATAAAATATTGAGTATACAATATTTAACTTTTGACAAATACTTTTAAAAAAATACATTGAGTTTTTCCAAGGTTAATCACTGATGAAGTAGTCACTCATAAATGGGCATCATTTCATATTGGTCAAGTTTTGTTATCACAATGATTTTTCATGTGGTCTAAGATGTTAAAATACAAAGAGAAACACATCTTAGTGTGACATTTCTAGAATACTATCAAACGTTATTCAGCCAATTCCACCCAGTGCCAAAAAGACCTCAGGAGACATAGATTGTAAATGTATTTTATTTTGTAAGCAACAATCAAAATATATTTGTTACTGATTTCTTCAAATATTAAATGGGATCTTAACAAAATCTGTCCATTTTGATGTATTCTTATACAACTTTAGAATCTGCGGAGACCCTGACTAAAGAAACAGAAGTAATTGCACAACCGAGACTGAAGGTGTTACAGTGCTGCAAATGATGCCAGATGTCTTTCACTGAACCAAATACACCTTCAGAGGTCCCTTGATTTTGAGCACTAGGAACAATAGAGGAAGAATATACATCGAAAGTATCACTGATAGCTTTTTGCATTACTTTATTTAAATACAACAGTATC